GGACTCTAAAGTACCTAGGGGTATTCCATTAAATGTTACTCACTTTCCTTTCACTGTATCAATTTATGTCTAAGCCCCCCTAAATCTTCAGGGATGAGTTGCTTTCTCTAACCATAACCTTGAAATATGTACAAAATAAAAAGAGCTTATATAAGGACTAATATTTTTCACCTATAAGTGACTGGAATCTAGTGAACATTAGACATCTCCATCACCAAATGGCATTTTGGAAGTCTGTTGCTCACAGTCCAAGTCTTGGCAAGAACTAGAACACGAATCTCCAGGGTTGTCCCAAGAACAGTGGGCCCCAAGCAAAGAAGAATGACTTGTGACAGGAACCTGAGGAGAGCCTCAGTCTGTTGCCATGATTTATGGTCTCCTTACCACAGTAATGACTCCCTCCGTTTGGTTCCAGCCCACAAGACACTTCAGCAGAGGGTTGGGTACAGCCTTCTCCAATCTGTCTTGGGCTCACGAGTCATCTTTCTTCCCTGCAAAGTTTCCAACTGCCTGATTACAGAAGATAGGTTTGCATCTGTGGCAAGGAACCAGGGCTAGGTTTAATAAAGCCTGAACTGGCTCCAGTTTCCAAGGACAGTCAACATCAAAGAACCCCACACATATCTTTCCAGGACTATAGGCTTCATGGAAAGTGTCAGTTTTTCCAAGTAAAACATTTTTAGATTCATGAATGGTTACTGACAATTTCGAATAAAATAATTGCTAAAAACATCCAGGTTTGGGTCACATGAGAAGAAAACTAAAATATCAAAAGGGCTTCAAAAATCAATTCCTATCTATTTCCATTCCCCTAATAAAATAATATGCAAAGCAGTTTGGTATGGACCTGAAAGAGAGAGGAGATGGAGTAATGACCTCTCAAGGCTTTTCAAATTTCCATTTTGTAAAATCCTATGTTTGGGGAATTTTGTGCAGTTATTATTTTGTGCATATGGTGCAAATTTTACATCTATATAAAACGTCTCCATCCTCCATTTTCATCAGTCCTCTCTTTTCTTATCCAGGAATGGTGGTTCCAGATACTGTTCCTAGTCCCTAGGAGAGAGCAGGGGAAAAGAGAGTCCCTGTCCTCAGTGAGCCTATAATCTAGAGGGGAAAACACAAAACAGTCATGACAGACTGGAGAGATAGCTCAGCAATTAAGAGCTGTGGCAGTTTAAACAAGAAATGTCCCCTATTGGCTCAGGTATTTGAACACCCAGTCCCTACTTGGTGTTGCTGTTTGGGGAGGTTTAGGAGATGTGGCCTTTCTGGAGGAAGTACATCCCTGGGGGTGGGCTTTGAGAGTTTATAGCCTCACCCTGTTTCCAGTTCATTCACTCTCCTCCCCCCATGCATATAGAGATATGCTCTCTCAGCTTTCTGCTCTGCCTGCCTGCCACCATGCCTCCCCCACAGATACTGATTCCCCCTCTGGAACTGTAAGCCCAAATAAATTCGTCCTTCTATAAGTTACCTTCGGTCATAGCATTTTATCAAAGCAACAGAAAAGAAACTAATACAGCAGTTAAGTATGCTTCCTCCCCTTCCAGAGGACCCAAGTTCAGTTCCCAGCACCCATGTGTTGCAGAGGAATTCACAACCACCTGTAACTGCAGCTCCAGGTGATCTAATGCCCTCTCTGGTTTCCATGGACACCTGCATACACATGGCATAGATTCACACAGAGACATACACCTAAATAATTAAAAAAAAAAAAAAAAGCCATGGGTACTGGTCAATCTTACCAGAAAAGTAAAATAGTCAGAGAAGGAACAGATGCTGAAGAATTAAAACAGGTATCACAGATGAGCATGGTTCATGGAACCTAGCAAAGAAAGTACACCACGAATGAGGGATTTAAAGGCTGCAAAAAGACCAAGTGGCATAGGGACAACGTGACTGCTGATGTCTTAGTCACTTTCTTATTGCTTTCCTATTGACAAAAACAACTTAAGGAAGAAAGGGTTTATTTTGACTCACAGTTCCTGAGTTATATGGTTGCAGCCAGAAAGACCTGGCACCAGGCAAGGAATGCTTGATGGCAGAAGCAGGAGGCTGGCTGGTCACTTTGCATCTGGAGTCCATAAGGTTACATAGACTGTTAGTGAAAAAAAGATGCCACAAATAGATGTACAGCATGCTGCTACTTGCTATTTGGGTGCCGGGGTGGAGTCGGGGGAAGGGGAGAGAAACATAGGGCCAGACTATGAAATCTCAAGGCCTGCCCTTAGTGATCCACTTCCTCCAGTGAGGCTCTATTTCTTAAAGATTCCACAACTTTCCCAAACAGTGCCATCAGCTGGGTAGCATATGTTCAAACAAGTGAGCCTACGGAGGACATTTTACATTCCAACCACAACAGCTGGCTTTGATTCAGTGATGAGCTGGTGAGCTTGATAGACTGCTGTTATCAAAAGCTCAATTGAAAATGGAATGAAAAGATGATATAAAGGTTGTAAGTAATTCTTTGGAAGAATAGTGAACAAAAAACAGGTAGGAGAAGATGCCCAGGTGAAGGGCTTCCCAGATGCAGGTTTGTCTTATGTGCTACATCAACATGTTTGTGTGCCTGTGAAGTAATCTAGAAGGAAAAAATAAGTTCATTGAGGAAAGAAAGGGGACATTTAATAAAGTCCTTAATAGAGTAAGAAGAGACACACAGAGTCTGGTCTCAGGTAGAAGGTAGGCTAAGCCTTCAGTTTTTGGTTTTGTTTGTTGGTTGTTTTTTGTTTTGTTTTATTCTTGTTTTTAAATTTAATTTACTTTTTATTGAATTTTTGTGAATTGCATACAATATAATTTTTATTATATTTAGACTCCCTATCTGTACCCCTCTCATAGCCCCTATACTGCTGGATTTCATGTACATGTATTCCAGGTCTTTAGTTTTTATAGCTTCAGACCCTTTCAGAGGACGTACACATATGCATAAAGGGGTGTGTGTGTGTGTGTGTGTGTGTGTGTGTGTGTGTGTGCGCGCGCACGTTACATACTATTTGGCATCTTGCTTTTCTTACTTTAAATTTATTTATTTACTTATTTATTTCTATCTTATGTGTATGATTGTTTTGCACATGTGTATAATACCTGTGGAGGCCAGAGAGGGTATCAGATCCCCCTGAAACTGGAGTTAAAGATGGTTGTTTGCTGCCATGTGGGCTCTGGGAACCAAACCTGAGTCTTCAACAAGAGCAGCCAGTGCTCTTAACCCCTGAGCCATCTGTCCAGCCCCGAGTCTTCCCTCCCTCACTACAAAAAGAATTATGTATACAACCTCATGGATTGCCTATTATTTTTTATAGCTATATTATCACCATTCATTATTACATTATAATTTACTTCTAAACTTCTACCAATGGATGCTGGTTATTTCTAGACTTTTTCTATTGCAAATAATGCTTTAATGAATTACTTTGTAAAACATGCCAGCACATCTACAGAGTAAATGACCAGAAATGAACCTTCCAAGCCAAATAATATAAACATTTTAATTTCAAAAGTCATTACCAAATTGTGCCTAATTTATTCCTATTTATAAACTTAAAAGTATAATACTTATTTCTGCCTCATTAATTCAGTATTAAATATTAAAATTTATCTTTTAAAGCAGGGTCTCAGGTAACTCAGGTTGGCTTTGACCCTCTTATATCACCAAGGCTGACCCTGAACTCTTGATCCTCCTGCCTCCTCCTCCCAAGTACTGAGATTGCAAGTATGCAGCACCATGCCCAGCTTGATAGTAAACACACTAGTATTTATTAGTCTTACTGGTGAAAAGTATATCTCATAGGTTTAATTTGCAATTATTTTATTACATATAAGGTTGAATATCTTTTTGTTTAAAATTCAGCTAAATTTCCTTTTCTGTAAACTTTCTCCACATCTTTTGTTTACAGGATTTACAGCTTTCCTCTGTCAGGCATGTTGCAAATACCTTCCCTAATTTGATGTATCTATTTGTATCTCTTTTATGTATCAAATTTCATAAGCTTATAGTTTATAATCCATTGTGGAATTTATATATTTTGTAGTCATATAAGTCTTTGTAGCATGTTGACCTTTTTTTCTATGGGTTCTGGGTTTTATGCAATTCTTTTTATACAGTTTTTTGGAGACAGGGACTCTCTGTAGCCCCAGCTGGCCTGGAGCTTGCTATGTAGACCAGGCTGGCCTCAATCTCACAGAGATCTGCCTCCTCTATCTCCTGAGTGCTGGGGTTAAAGATGTGTGCCACCATTCCCAGCTCCTTTTATAAAATTTTAAATTTTTATTTGTGTGTGTGTGTGTGTGTGTGTGTGTGTGTGTGTGATATGTGCAGGTATGTGTGGAGTCCAGTGTGGTTGCTGGCTGTGGCTGCTCTCCTCCAGCTATGGCCACTCTCCTGCTCTTTTAGTTCCTCAGATCAGTCATACAGTCCGGACCCCAGGGCTGGTGAGGAGTCTGTACCAGCATCACCACATTCAGATGCAGGAGACCAGGTTCAATGACACAGATCTGCTTTATTGCAGGAAGGCACAAGCTTATATGGGGTAGTGGTCCAATCACAGCACAACAAGTAGGATGCCTCATTAGCATACTGGGTTTCAGATTACAGAGCCTGGATTCCTGGAAACCACATGACCCTGACTGTTGCAATATCTAAGTGTTGCAATTTGGATTCCAAGGGTGGTGATTAGGGAGTGGTGTGGCGAGCTCTAGGCATCAGTCTCATGATCTGCCAATGGGAGCAAATGCCAAAAGGCATTCCTTGTGGCTCCAGCGGTTGGGCCGTTGCCTCGGGCCTGCTGTATGGCTGTCAATAAGACTTTCACCCTAGGCTCAAGCCTGTCTCTCACAGTCCAGAAGAGGGCATAAGATTCCCTGGAGCTACAGGAAGTTGTGAACTGCCTGGCATGGGTGCTGGGAACCAAACTTGGGTCCTCTGCAAGAGCAACAAGCTCTCTTAGCCCCTGAGCCACCCCTCTAGCCCCTTAATGCCATTCTTTTTTTCCCCCCATAACTGTGGGACCCACTTCAATGCCAGCGGCCTACAGGCACAGAGGCCAGGCAATGGTTTGGAGCCACAGGTTGCTTTAGCATGGGACACTATGAGAAGCCCAGGGTGCTTAATGTCATTCTTAAAAGACCTTCTGCACTCTGAGACTGTAAGACAAGGATAAGAATGCTGTTTGGGGGTTGGAGAGATGGCTCAGCGGTTAAGAACACTGACTGTTCTTGCAGAAGACCCAAGTTCAAATCCCAGCACCCACATGGCAGCTAACAACTGCCCATAACTCCAGTTCCAGGGCATCCGACAGCCTCTTCTGTCCTCTGCGGGCATTGTGCGACATGGGTGCACTTACTTACATGCAGACATAACACTCATACACATAAAATAAAAATAATAAATAAAATATTTTTAAAAAGAATGCTGATTTTTAAATTTAAATCTTTCGTGTATTTGGGATTTGTTTAATACTAAGAAATGCTATCACTCTTACTGAATTTTTTATAACTACCCAGATTCCTAATGTCATTTATTTATATAATGCTGTCTTAATCATTGACAAAGTTCCTAGCCATCGTGAAGAAGAGAGAAATGCTTAAAGAAAAGAAGGATGCATTCATGAATTTGTGGAATGACATTAGAAGAATTCATATGCAAGATACAAGGAAGGTCCAGGACCCAATCCTGCCCCAAGTCCTGCTTGATCTATTGGCCTCTTTACATTCCCCCTCACCACCTTCCATGCAGCATGTCTGCCTTTTCCTAGAGGGGCTTTTCCCTATTTTTTCCTCTGACTAATTCAGCTCTGCTGCAGCCCCACCTGTGTGGACAGTGTGTTGTGTTGGTCCCATTGGATTCCATGTTAATGTTTTGGAAAACTTACCATGCTATGCTGTGGAGGGCTGTTGCAATGGTTGCAGAGAATGGATCTCAGAGGACGTACTCAGACCCTAGCAGGTGGTAAGTTGCAGTGGTCAGAAAAGGCCATTTGAAGGCAGTGACACTGGTTTGAAGTGAAGTCTGAAGACTTAAGAAGGAACTCACCCTATGATGATGTGGGAGAGCTTTTCAGATGGAACAAGCAGTAGGTGCAAAAGCACCAAGGTCAGAGGGTCTGAGGAACAGAAAGGAGGCTTGCATGGCTACCATGAAGTGGTCAGAGATGGCAGGAGAGGAGAATGTGGTGATGGTAAGCAGAGGCTAGATCATACCAGGCTTTCTAGATACTGGGGTGTTGGGCTGCTACTCTAACATGACCATTGGCATTGTCCTTGCTTGGAGCAGCTGTGTGGTGTTTGGAAGCACAGAGAAGAGAAGCATGCAAGGAAAATAAAATGTGCATTACACTGGTAAATTGTCATATGCTGTTTGAACCCTGGAAGTGGGGATGCCCTTTTCCCACTTCAAACCCAAGCAGGTCTATGTCACGTGCCATCTAAGGCCCATTGTCTGGGCTGGACTCCCCAGCTCTGTGATAGGGAACAGAGAAAACAAAATAACCCAAGAGTAACAAACAACATTGTGCTCTTGAGAAGAGCTAGAAGATAAATCATTCCCAGCAGAGGTTACTCCTGTTTATCTCATGATATAAAAATGCCTACCATGGGAAAAAGAAGCCAGAAATCCAGCCACGGGAAGTCTATCCACAAAGAGAAAGCTCATTTGGGAACTCATGGGGATTACCTCAACTTCCGCAGCCAGTTTTTGCTGGATATTGTGAGCACCTAACTTGATGCTGTCTCTATCTGTTGCTATTTGGTCTTTTACTTGAAAACCTCACCCAAGGGGACTCTGCTCTGCCAGAACTCTATTTGAAACTCTAGATATCTGTCTTAAAGGGCTCCTCCAGTTGATTTCTACTGGATATTTGAGAGTCCAAATTGATGATCTCTCTCTCTCTCTCTCTCTCTCTCTCTCTCTCTCTCTCTCTCTCTCTCCACTTCTCCTCCCACCCTTTATTCTTTTACTTTGGCTTGCTATGTACTCAATAAACTCACTTATTCAAAACCAAAAGCATGGGTATCTTAGATCATTCTCCAGACTGCACAGAACAGAGAACACAATCAAGCCTATCAAATGCTGCCAAAATGTTAAGTTCATACTTAAATATGTAGCGATGTGACATGTGATGCCTGCTTGAAGGAGACTGGTGACTAAGGGTAGAGGCTGGGGAGAGGCACTAGAGTGTGAAGAACAGAAGAAGGATTAGAAAATGAAACATTAGGCAGACAACTCTAGAACTTTCCCTGTAAGTGGACAGGACAATGGGACAGTTCTTGGAACTGGTTCAGTTCCTATACAGGTTCAATGAAATACTGCACAGAACTCCTGAGACCAGTGCCTGCTACAGAGTGAGCACGCAGAAGCATTTGCGGGTCTCACTGTACCTTTGGCCAAGACAGACCAAACTTTCTTTTCCAGGAATTGTAAATGGAGGGCTTAGTGTGTTAAGTGTCCTGCTGGAATGCATTTGGTACTGGAAAGATGAGGTTGGATGACAGATCATTTCAGCCTGAAAGAGTGCTTTAGAGGCTGCTGCCAAGGGCCAGGGTCCAGGCAGGGCCAGTCCTCCTCTGCAGCTTCTATCACATCTTCACTCCTCTCACAGGATACAGGTGCAAACTAGACAAGTTTTCTGGTTACCACATATCCTGTGACAACTTGGGATGGGGTACGCTTGTGAGCTTTGGAGTTGTTTGTTTTGGGTCTTCCATCTACTAAATGCCACTACATATGAGCATTTAGATGGCCAAAGATTAGCCACAGGGATAAAATGCAGTGCTGCTGGGATAACTTACACCGAAAGTCAACAGCTGTAATGGAAAGGAAAGAGGGAAAAATTACTTTTGTCTTGAAGTCACTGTTGTTTCAAGACCTGGAAATATGTACAGTTTGGAAGTCTTGCTAAAGAATCAACTTACTAGGACTGGAGAGATGGCTCAGCAGTTAAGAGCATTGGTTGCTCTTGCAGAGAGAACCCAGGTTTGGTTCCCAGCACCCACATGGCAGCTAACAACTGTCCATAACTCCAGTTCCAGAGGATCCGATGCCCTCTTCTGGCCTCTGAGGGCATTGCACACACATGGTGCACTTACATAAATGTAGGCAAAACACTCATATGCATAAGATTTTTTAAATTCAATTTACCATGGCAGGCATACTCGTTCATGCATATAATCCCAGCTTTTGTGGGAGGGTGAGGCTGAAGGACTGTAATAAATTTGAGGCCAGTCTGGGCTATATAGTGAGGTCTAGGCCAATCTGGGATATAAAACAACAAGGCACTCCTGCACTTGGGAGGTAGAGGCAGGGAGATCTCTGTGAGGTCAAGGCCAGCCTGATCTAGATAGCAAGTTCCAGGCCAGCTATGGCTACAAGGAAACTCTGCCTCAAAAATAAAAATGAAAGCTCCAAAATAAGGCACAAAACCACAGGACAACAGAAAAAATCAGCTCACTTAGCTTACCAGTATCTGTACACAGTTGGTTAGCTGCTGTTCTGAACAGGGAGTGTTCTTTCTCATCTTCAGTGTGCAAGGTTGGAATGGACCTTCTGTTTCTCTTCCTGCCAGCAGACAGTGGCACCCTGAAATCCTGAAGCTTCTCTTCCTAGGGTTGTTGCTGCTCAAATCCCTTCCTTGTTCCCTACTAATAGAATAATCTCCCTTTCCAAAGCAATTGCAGATGTGCATGTGTTTATTATAAATTCCCATGTGCTTGTGATCCATCAATCACTCCCTTGCATTGTCATGTCACAGGTGGGTATCTTATTTGGCCAACAATTTTGGCGTTCGCCCCCTAAACTTCTCTGAGCTCCCTTCAGTTGGATGCATAGTGTAGACATTCTGGTTTAGTTTTGATGCATTGAGCTACCCTCAAGGATCTTCACTGGGGAGGCCAGAGGTAACCAGGTGAAAGAGTTTATTCAATGAAAATCAAAGGTCTCATAACTCAATACTAAGTATGCAATGGCACTGGGGGCACTGGGCTGAGGATGTTAAGGGGGAGTAGCCAGGTTGGGCCAATCTGAGGGTTGTCAGTTGCTCTAGAGGATGAGCCAGTAGGTTCTTTCCAAACTGGCCTGGTTTTACAGATGGATCTAACAGATAGCACTATAAGTCGCTGGGCCTCTAGAAATATCACAGCGAGTTTACCACTGTCCTCTTTTCCTGTTCTTCAGAGCCCTTTCATGACAGTTCTTTTTTCCTTCCAACCTCTGTTTCTATGAAAAGATTAATCTTTATGGTTCAGTTCTCTGAAAGAAACGCGGAGAGCAGGAGAAGCAATGAGCGAGGATGCCAGCACTTCCCCACGCTGTTTCTGGGTGCTGCTCTTCTGCTTTTAATCTTGCCGCTGTCAAGCTCCATTAGGAGGTCTGAGCATCAGCCTCCTACTTTTGGGGCCTGGCCTCCCATCAGCCCTGGCTGAAAGGAGGTTGGATTTGAGATTGGTATCCAAGAAAGGCAGGCTGCATATTGCAAAGAGTAGGGGCCTTACTCACTGCCCTGATGACCTGTTCCCCTTACACAACACAGGAGGGTGTTTATTCTCCCAGGGGCAAACAGTGACAGCCAGTGCTGGAAGCCATCTGAACGCTCTATGACACAATGACTTAGAAACAGCAGAAGATCAGGGCTAAGCAATGGATTTCCCTTTTCTGAGAACACAGAATCCCGCACCTAAGTACTTAGAGACAGCTCAGTGACAGATCTTCCCGCTGGTTAGGCTTCTTGTCTAGCCCTCTGGGTGGCTTTGCAGAGCCAGAAGCAACATTTTCTGCCTCAGAAGACCTGCAAGAAGTTCCCAGAAGGCAGCGGCCCCCACGTGACTCCCCTCCTGTTCATTTGATATAAAGTAAAGGCCATGCCATGAAGAAGCTGAAGGAGGAGCTGGAGAGATGGCTCAGCCGTTAAGAGCACTGGCTGCTCTTGCAGAGAGAACCCAGGTTCAGTTCCTAGCACCCACATGGCATCTAACAACCATAGGTAACTCCAGTTCCAGAGGATCCAACACTGTCTTCTGGATTCTGAGTGCATTGTACACACCTGATACACTTACATAAAGCAAAACACTCATACATATAAAATATAAAAGGAGATGCTTGTTTCTCTGACTAAAATTAGCACCTTTGTTGTTTGTCACCAGCA